CATGAAGCTAGCAACCATTCACAAAGCTCTGAACTTTTTGATAGATTCTGTAATTGTTTAATCAATTCTTTAGATTGGTATTATTATTAAAGACAATTTTAAAGATAAAACATGCTTAAATTTTTTTTTTGTATATTGCACAATTCACAATATAAAGACCTTGAACAAAACTTGACAGTAAAACTTGTTGTAAATTTGATTTATTTAAGGATATTAGAATAATCCAGAAATTATACAGGAAGCAAACTGCCTCCATACTGATAAAAAATGAATTCAGTAAATATACAAAAATAAAAAGTGGCATAAGACAAGGATGTGTCTTCTCACCAGACTTATTCAACCTCTGTGGTGAAGTAGTCCTGAGAGAATCAGAAATTTTACCAAGATTCATTATTGGTGGCCACAATCTTAATAGGGTTAGATGTGTTGTTAGCAGACATACAAAGGAAACTACAGGAACTCCTAGGGAAGGTAGTAAATTGAGAAGAAAGAACTAAACATCAATCATAAGAAGACAATGTATGGTTGTCATCAATATTCAAATTGGAGATACCAATATCCAATGTACAAAAATTTAAATAACTAGGATGTGTTTTAATGGATGGTGGAAAATGCAACACTGAAATCTGAAAGCACATCGGGATAGCAAAAGATGCCTTCCAGAAGCTAAGCAAATTATTATGAAACAAGAAAATTTTGATAGAAAAAGTGTACTGAACCTTTATGCAATATTGCTCCTCCTATATGGCAGTGAATGCTGGACAATATGGTTCTACATAAGGATGTTGAGAATACCATTGACTGAATATTTGAGCAACAACACAGTTTCAGAGAAAATTGAAACACAAGGGACACTTATGTTTAGCATCAGAAAGTGGTAGTTGAAATTTCTCAGGCACATAATGAGGAAATAGAGCTTAAATCTGAAACTCAAAAGATATATTGTAGGCAAGAGAGACAGGAAAGCAGTGTATAACCTGCTTAACGGGATTATGTAAATGGCTGGCAGGACAGGAATTAGAAGAGATAGCAAAAAGACAAACTTTACTTATAACTACAAAGGATAGGAAACTCTGGTAAGACATGAAGTGATATGGCACATAGAAGAATATTTTAAATAAGCATTTACAATAATTTATTCCCACTTATAGTTAAAATCATTCTCAATCAGTTTGATATTGATAAACTCATCATATGTGTAATTGATTTATTCAAGCTATGATTTTCATCTTTACTTATTATGTTGTTATAAACACATTTCAGCCAGGTACCCTATAGCCATCTTCAGGTGTCCATCAATTTTGCTGATATGGAACATACAAGATAACCCATACCAGCTAAAATAATAGATACTTGAAGACGTCCAGAGGTACTTTGCTAAAATGTTGTCTATAATAGCATCTATAACAAAGATGAGAGAAGTAGCTCAAATAAATTGACTGCCAAAGTATATATATTCCTAATCTCGGAAAAAAAAAAAACATGCCTAGTTTGTTTTATTTAGATGAAGAAATAATCAGTATTTTAAATATTTGTCATATATAAGATGTATCCATTGATGATGATATTTAAAAACATAAAATGCATATATCTGGATTCAATTTGATATATTTTATTATCAAGATTTTATTGGTGGGGAGATCACCTCCTCACTGGGATGGGGGGTGTATGTGGGTGGATGAGTCTATTTTTAATTTCTCTTATTTTACTTTTTTCTTTCTCTTATTATTTTTTCCTCCCTATCAAAAATAGGAATCCATTCATTGAGAGCATAGAAATGCCAGTCACCAAAACAAGTCCATTCTTACTTTGCAGATTCATTAGATTTTTAAATATTAAATTTTAAACATTTAATATGAATTGAGAAAAAAATTGGACAAAATAATATCCTTTTTGAGATTTGTTAAATTTTAAGAATCTTCCATTAATCTGTGCAAACTGCTTCATTGAACTCTAATTTGAACTTTTTTCTATAATTTTCAGCTGGCTCCTGTGTTGTACTCATGTTGCTGGGAAAGTCTTCAGGACAACTTAAGTCCATGGAGTCCAAAGATAACTCTAGCTCAAATAAGCGGGTCACAGCTCCACAGCCTGTTGATGTAAATATATTTTGCTATGTTAACATTTGTCTTTTGAATATTTTTTTGATGCTTACAAATTTCAGATATTCATGTAATTTAGAGTAATATATCTTGTTTTTGTTAACTTCACTGATATTATAGAATATGTTGCCAAATAGTAAAAGTTTTGGTTATCTTGCTGAAGTTCATAAGGACCATAAATATAACATTAATGAACTTAATGTAAAATTTTCAAATTAATTTTTAGCTGTTATCTTCAGAATTATTTTTTGCAAAATTTGAATATTTATAATATTTAATCAAATGATTATGGCTTTCCAAAACTTATTTCATAATTTACGCTACATGTTTCTGAAAAAAGTTAATTTCTATTTACCTCTCTTTAAAGTAGCTACCTCCAAAGAAAAATGATACCTGAGCTTTAAAATGAATTATTAAAAATAAAAAGGTCTTTATTTTAGTTTTAATTTCAATCCAATAGATTAAATTCAATATTTCTAATAAGCAAAATACTTTGCTGTATTTCAAATCAAATTTAAATTGATTGGAAGGAGTTCTTTTTTGTTTTGTTTTTAATTGATAAAAGTGGCTGATTTTAGCCACATTTACAATTCTCTCAGCACAACATAATTCTTTTTATTAAAAATCTTTCAAAAATAAAATATACTTTTCTGAAACTTTATTTGAGGAAGATAAGCTGATTTAAAGTTTAATTAATCTGATTTGAAACCTATTACTTTTAGTTTAAAATATCAGCAAAAAGCATTTTTTAACATGGAGTTGGGTGTTTTTATGAGGTGTTAAGTTCTATTGACAGCCTGATATATAGGAAATTTAACTAATTTTTTCTATGGGGTCCATATCTATAAAAATTACACAATATAATGTGAGCACCTTTTTATATATTTTTTCAAAAAAAAAATTGTAAGTGATCTAATGTTTTAATGAATTTTAGGTACTTTGTTTTTGAATTTACTATAATTACCACTCTTATTTTCTGATAAATATTGTATGTGGACATCTGTATTTACATAAATCGACACATTTATACACACACAAAAAAAAAGTTCTTTTTTAAATAGTGAGGGTTACTGAACTGTGGAACTGTGGTAAGCTTTTCCATTCATGAATAGTAAATAGTTTTTTCCCCAAGGACTTCTGGTTATAACTAATATAATCATTAGCCATACAAAATGAATTTGTTGAAATTTCATAAAATTAAATAAGTGGGGGTACCAGATGTTTAAAAAAAAAAAAAACTATATTTCTACCAATATTTGCTAAAAAAAGAAATGTTTCTAAAATTTAATTCATTTGTGAATAAGTCCTGAAAGTTTCATTAAAATTTGACAATTATTTGATTTTTGCAAGAATTTCATCAATCAATGGGCTTTTCACTGCAAAAAAAAACATGCTAAAATTTCCTATACTAATTATTGTCACCTGTTGATACAAGACAAAAAAAGTTTAACCCCAATTTTGAAGGTTCTAAAAATGATTAAAAAAATATAATTTAATAATCAAAAAATCCTTTGGTCTTTTCTCTTAATAATATAAAGATTTTAATGATAAAACTTTGTTTTTATTAAATTTGGGCCTTTTTTTCACCATGTATTATCATTTTTATTAGCGAATCTTTGGAGGTACCTACTTTAAAGATATCCGTAAGCAAGAATATATCTATCTTATGTAACTTTGTGTGCAGTAACAAAAGAACAGTCCTCTCATGCATTTGTTAATGCAGACAAAAATATTTCCTAGTATAACATGAGGCATGTAAATGTTGATGTACAGTAAACTTATACCTTATTTATTTATAGAAAAAAATGCACTATCCTAATATTGATTATCTATTCTATGAATTCCTTGCTCATGGTGCAAGTTCATGTAATGGTTAGTAACGTAGAAAATAATTGGGCAAACCTAATTCAAATTCCAATACTGGTATTATTTTTACACTATTGCCTTTATGAAAAACATGAATCCAACTTTGCATCATCCATCATCTTAGCCATGGTTTCATCATTTGGTAAAGTCTGATCTTGCATAATTACCTTCCCAGACAATAGCAAAAACAATGGCTTCTTTATTCATTACCAACATCACTATTTTGGAGATGTAAACCTCATTCTATGTATTATTTTAAGGCATCCTGATAATAAATGTAAAAATTGTGTTCAAAAAATGTTTCATAAATTTACAGATTCAGTTCACTTTCATGTCTCTGAACTTATAAAACCCACGTAGATCATTGAAAATTTAATATATTTATTATAAAGCTATTTTGTGGCTAAGACAGATATGAATAAATATTGAAGTGATTTCTTGTAGTAAAAGGGTGGTAGAAGAAAGAATAGTACAAGGTGGAGACTACATTTAGTTATACTTTATTTTCACTAATTTGTGTAGGTGTTTTTATTAAACAATCACAGTTTGTTTTTTTTAGCCAAAATGTTAATCTTTTTATCTTAAAAAGAGCCTACAAATAAATCAAAACTTATCTCAAAATAAGATTTGTTTTTCTTTTATAACATGTATGAAAAGTACAATGCTTGTCACCAGAATAAAACTTACATTGTATAAATATCAAATTTTTGATAAAAGAAAAATTAGTATTTAATAAATTTAGCGATTTGATCACATAAGGAATGATATATTTAAATTGTTAAAGCAGTGTATTTTTATGTGAATTTGACTAATTGTTTAAGTGTCGCCCTCAAGTCCTTTCCTGGTCGTCCTAGTGTCCAATACCCATGGCTGATCAATAAGGTGATTGTTTCAATCCAGGTCTTGCTTTATATCATGTTGTGATTAGTTTTCATCATAAGGTCGGCCAGGATCAAATCATCATCAGGTATCTTCGTATTGGGCTGGTCTAACTGGAATGAAAACAAAAAAAAAATACTTTTGGATAAAAAAAAAAAAAATGTTTATATAAGTTCTTCCTTGATACAAAAGTTGGTTAGTTATTGTCAAATCTAAAGTTTCGTGATATGGACATTATTGTGACAACCCACTTCTTAAGTTAGATGTGTCACTTTGCTGGCTTGGCAAAGTTTGGCACAAGGCTGATGCCAGAGGTTCTCTTCAGGTAGCCAGCCACATGAGGTGTTTCTCTCGTCCAGTGTTTGGTACAATCTTTCTCTCTCTGCTGTAGTGTTTCAGCATTCTATTTTTATGGACCCATGCAAAAGGGCTGGGATGGGGCATGATGTGCTCTGGGTGTGCCATCACTCCCCAAACAACCAATTAGGGCTCCCCCTGCAAATTTCTGAATATAGGGGAGCCCCTTCTCCCTCCTTGGAATTCTACCTGAGCCTTTTCCTCCTTGCTTTGTGTGAGTGCCTCTCACCATCACTGCCCAAGGGGTGTGGAAAGTCCTCCACCTTCCCGCAATTCCAGTGGGACTTTTTCTCTTTGGACACCTAATCAAACTTGCCTCCTTTCTACTTTGTGTGAGTGCCTTTCACCATCACTGCCTGAGGGGCATGGAAAATCCTCCAAATTCCCTGAAATTCTACCTGGTTCCTCTCCTCATTAGTTACCTGACCAAACTGTCCCCCAAGGGCTAGGCATAGTCTAGCCCAATGGCCAAATTTTAATTATTGTTCAAAATTCTTTCTCATCGTGCTTTTGTGTGTGGTCATTTTTGCATCTGGAATTTTTTGTTTTTATCTCCTCGTCAACCCTTTAATCAACAAGTGGCAAGAAGGGAAAACCTTGGGAAACTTTATCGTGCTTTGGCAGACGAGAAATTTAATTTACTTATTTTCTTTTGTAAATCCATCTGCTTTTAAAAGTTAATCCTTATCAATCAACCGAATTTGTGGCCAGAGGTCTGTTTCCTCAATGGCTGTAAAAATATTATCTATTTCTTTCCAGGAGGTCGTTGGTACTCCGGAATAGCTCATCACTTAATCTCAGTTCTTAATCGAAACCATATGGTCTTTCCAGCAGACGAGAAATTTAATTACCTCCTTCTAGTTTCTTTTTCCAATATACAAATATCCCTTTCTTTCAATTTCCTTCGTCTGGTCATCGGTATATCTATTGTTCTATTCATTAGCCTTCTTATCATTTACCAGCACTAAATAGTGTCACATAAGTAAATAACAGTTGTTTATATAAAACTAATGATATTACTGTTAATACTTAAGAATCAAATACATCAAAGCTAGCATTCCACAAAAATATGGAGTACTGAAAAGTTCTCAGCTCAACCTACTTCCCAAAATCTAACCAAACATCAATATATTTTTTAATCCATTTTTGCTTGAGCCAAGATCTTTTCAGCACCATTCTCAAAAATTTAGAAAGTTACAGAAAATTTTAAAAGCATATAGAGGAAGTGAGATGTCAAAATTATTGTAAATTTGGTAATGTGAACAGATATGAATATGATATGAATTCAAAAACTGTTCATTTAATACTTATCTACTTTCTGCAAGAAAACTTATATTAATTTCAGTGGAATATTTAAAAATTAATCTACTAATACTTCTCTCCCAACAAAAAAAATTTTAATGTTAATCGTTCACTTTTAGTGAATGTTGATCTTAGTACAAGCTGATAATTATACACAGCATTATAAATAAAAATTAGTGACATGAGTGCTAAAAAATTTAATTCGATGGCTTAAACACAAAATTTTACAATTTTTATGTAACATTTGTTTAAGCACTTACCCGTGGAACTCTCTTCCAGTTTTTTGCTTTCCTGTCACCTACAATCTTCAAACATTTAAATGCAATGCCAATTACCATCTTCTTTCATTCTGAAACCTATCCTTTTATTGTCCTTTCTACTCATTAACATCTTCTCATTCTCTTTCATGCTCAGTAACCCCTTGCATCTTAGTGGCATTAGCACTTTGCTTGGCGTGAAATAATTAAAAAAATCAAAAACAATTTTTAGTAATATGTATATTATGCATTGAAAATCAAGAAAATGTTTTCAGTGTTATTGACAGAATAAGTCTATTGTTTATATATAACATCACAGTGTCATCTTTATTAACA